ATAAATATGGGTAATTGTTGATTTTATTATTTAAAACACATTTTTCTAAAGGCACGTTACCTGTTTTATAATACTGACTCAATGTTGAAAAAAACGACTGAATACATAATTATCCTGTAGAAGGGGAGAATGTAATTTTTATTTTGTCAACTTCTTACTCAATCTTAACGTATAATAAAATGTTACTTGCAATCCTAAGCTTGGATGTTACGTTAAAAATCAACGAATGTAATTCTTATGATGATTATAACGTCGTTGTAATTGTTGCGAGTGAGTTTTAAAACGCAGTAGGTACATGTGGAATACGTATATCAGAAAAATGTACGGGCAACGGTAATAAAAAGAGAGTCATGCGTGTAAGTATGTATGCAACTATCTACCTTGCAAATATAAAATGTTCGCGTGAAAATGTTGGTTGTATCATATCTACACGTTGCGTCCGTACTAACGAGTGATTCATGAAAATCGTTACGGATAGAGAATAATATATGTTTCTAATATTCGCTATGTTCATTATCTCACGGAGGGCATGTTAAGTAGTATAACATGCGTATGTTTTGTGGAAATTTGTGTAAGTAGGTGTATTCTTTTCCTCGTTGAATTTTTCGACTTGACGAAAATAAATTGTAAATTGCGGTCAGTATGAAAATTAAGTACGAACAGTATACCTAACGATAGTAGGATAAACCAATTCGAATGTCCAACGATCGTAAATTTACGGTGAACTGGTAGTTTCGATAGTTTTAACAACATATGCTGCATATAGTGTAGAAATGAAAAAGGAAAGTTAAGTTCGAAAAATCCTTAGTCCAACAATTTACAAAATAGAGCTGTTTTATACTTTATAAATTTTGTTGATTGCATTTATGAAGGAATTTCTAGCAACGAAGTGTAAAGTTTTACCTGGAAAAAGTTCTATTTAGAGAAGCAGTTACTTAAATGTTGCACAGTTCCGAGTTTTTTGTGTTAATTTCAAGTTTCTAAGGTTCTTGATTCGTTGTGGAATCTAAGGGTAATGTTTGTTCGAATTTAGAAACAATCTTCTTTCCTCCCTGAAAAATTCGACATTTCATATTAAACGACTTGTAATTTCTCTTTCTGAAATTATCTGATTTCTTCACTTATTTACAAGTGTGTCCTTACTACAATTATGCTTTTATATATTGTTTTATATACTTTTCAACGAATTGTAGGTTTCCAAGTTATTTCAGTTTTTCATGGAATTTTTGTAACAAACTAGATATGCCTTAGTTATACAAAATGGACCCAATGATTGACATAATGTTTCAAATACAAGAACCTAATTTACAGCGAAAGCGCGTGGTTTGTAAAATAGCAGAGGTACTTTTCTTTATTGTTTGACGAGCAAGAGTTTCATCTGGATAATTATTTCTTTTTTTTTTTTTTTATGAAGAAGAATGTGACGAATCTTGTAACTTTTAATCAAATTTAGCGTTGCTTATAATTTTCTACTGTATTATACTTTATTATAAGTCACAAAGTAAAATTCATATTTCGAATTTATAAATAGCGTTATTCCAATGAATATTTCTAATACACACACACACACACACATATGTGTATATAAGTAGATACCTAATGTCACGTTTCATAATTTTGCTGTTCGTAACTAGATCGAAGTGTCCGGGTTACTATTTATACCAAATCTTGGAAATATAATTATATAACAAATATCAATGCCTCGAAATTTATCATAAATTATTTGAAACAATTCACTGGTATTCTTGGTTTGCATTGAATTTTTTTGCCTAATTGTACCCAGGTATGTAAATAATTTTTAACACCTCAGGATACTTTATTCTTTTTCGTATTGCATTTCCACATCCTTAACCTAACCGCAAAAGTTGTACGAAAAATTCAATTACGGCATACAATTACACAGCTCTGTTTAAAAAACTGTACGATTTTCAAATGTACACTTCAATATGCGGGCACAAGAAGAATTCATTTGTTTAAATGTAATTTACAACATTTAACTTCCCTTTCCTCGAGAAAATCTCTTTCTTTTACTATTGAACGTTATGCGCCGGTGACTAGGAAAGTGGTCTAAGTCGAAAGTCTAGAAAAACATTGAATTTATCACATATTTCGTGTTGTGAAATATTCTATTACACAATTAAAAAAGTATTTACTAATACATCCAAAGGGAAAGTTCTGAATAACACGAAGTGAAAAATATATGACTTGGGCCACTGTCATTATCATCGGCACATATGCAAGTACATATGAAAGAGGGAAAAAGAAACGAAATTTCGAGGGTAAGTATATTATACATATGAGGAAGGAACACGCGCGTGTGTGTGTGTGTGTGAGAGAGACCCCTGTCTCCCCCTGTTTACTGTCAGGGAAATTAAGAGAAGGGAAAAGGTTTGCACGCAGGTTTGAACAGCATGTATATGCGGTCCACCTGCGAAAGGGAGCCAACACCTGTCACGCACACCAACCAATGGTTTACGGCAAGCAAGTAGATTCCAAGTGGGGGATTATCAGGGCTTTCGTTACCCCTTAGTACTAGTTTCATTCGAGCGATCATGCGGTTTACATGTTTTATTGCATATGTCAGTGAAAATGTACGTATATGACGTAATAAATCGTAATTTGGTCCACGTTCTGCAATCACTTTACACGTCGATCGAAATTTTCTACCGAAAGTAAACAAAATTTTATTTGCCGTTGATGTATTGCTTTCGAAAACGTTCGAAGGTGCGTTGTTGTTGAATTTTTTAAATGACATGCTTCGCTTGATGGAAATTTGCTAAAAGAAACGCTTACAACCTACGACAGTTTTTATTTCGATCTGTCGCAATTATTTATACTGTTGTTATATCAGTCGCTGTATTACGCGCCTGTGAATCTATTTGTATAGGTAGACCAGTCGTATTATTATGTTTTTAAAATCGATAAAATTCATTCCACGCAAAACGTATTTCGTTTCAATCAGAATCGCATATTCTGGTTAATCGTGTGCAAGTGCACTTTTAAATATTTTCCATGTAATTCTGTTCAATGTACACGTAGGTAGCGTAAATTCTATTTTCTCCTGTACTTTAAATTCCTCTATTGTGCCTGTAATATTTATACTAATACTCGTTTAAACGTGTTATGTCAAATTAACTTGAAATTTCTCACATTAGTTCTTCTTGACAGACGCGAAAAGGCCAGTTGAAACATTGACGCGTAATAAAAACGATACAATTATTAACATTGCTTATTGTAAATTACAGTAAGCTCGTGTTACTTTAACATTTGCATTCGTAGATTGCCGAGTCTGACAATAGTGATATTGTAATTCTACGAGTAAGATGATTATCAGTTTGTTTGTTTTTTTGAATAATAGAAATAAGAACAAAAAAGTTGGAGATAATTGGTTTTATTTAATATAAATCCAGTATACATGTTTGAACCTTTGATATTTTTCTTCAGGCTCTTAGAATCCATTCGATACTTATGTCATGAAAAATGGTGAAAATGAAGGCAGAATCGATCGATACTAAATCACCAACGAATCGCGGTTCATCAGCTATGAAGGAGAATATGCATAATGACGATTATGGTGTTGAAGCAGAATTGACGAGTCTTTCGTGGTTACAATCGCTCGACATTACGAGTGCTTCTAGTTTGCCAACACCACCGTGTTCGCCATCTCCACCACCGGTAACACGACAACCAAGGAAAAAGCTTTCACCCCTGATTAAAGCTGAATTAGGTAAGCGAAATTTGTCTCATTGAAATTGCTTCGTATTCTTACCCTCTTTTATTCCTATTTCAACTTAAATGCAATTATTCAAAGACGCTCTAGGTGTGCAAAAGAAAAAAAAAGAAGTATTTATTAAATCTAAAAAAATGATTTCTGCTTGAAAGGGAAGAGATGTTTCAAATATAATAAATGAATATTTATCGAATGTTTTTGGTACCACTTTAAAATACGCAGGTACAATAACTAAAACGTGGGATTTCTATGCTTGAATCTGATCGTTATTGATGGTACCTAATAAGCACTAATAGTGGTTAATTTAACAGTATGGAAATTTTTTCTCATATTTTTATATTTATAACAGTTGATAAGGTACGAATTTTAAAAAAGTTGAAATATGATAAGGAAAATAGTAGCAAATGGTATTTGTCTATTAAAAAGCATTCCAGGGGATCTGAATATATGAGAAATAGAGTTCTATTTTAATTAATGCGAGGAAATATCGTCGAAACTATTAACGATACCATAAAGTGTTTTAGACAATAGTTGAAGGAGATATAAGCTGGTGTTAGTAGTTTTTTTTTATAGGTGAACGTATAAAGGATACGAAGGTCAACTTTGTTTTTTCACATGGAATCATATTTTTTCAATAAATCGCTCGATGCAGCTCTTCATTCTCTATAAGAAGGAAGTATTAAGTCAATTGTACGGAAAAACAATTAAATTACGTTACATTTTAATAATAATATCGCGTAGTGGAATTTGTAGTATGATATTTAGTTTCTTGAAGTTTGCGCTAAAAAGTGCACCATGTAGCCTGAATACCTGCAAAAATAATGCATCTCTGAATGATTTGTCAAACTTATTGAGCTTTGGAAATTTGTTGATTTTCGGTACCATGAATAATTTCGAGAATATTCGCTCGTGCACTCACGTTGATTAAAACGTAACATTCTGCATTCTCATTGTTTAACCCCTTGCCTTATAGCAACGAGTCAGACACGTGGTAAGATTCTGGCCAAGATGCGACGGAAATAGTTACATTAGCAACAAAAATTAATTTTAATTCTAACTTTTCCTTAATTTACAAGACTGGGAATTACCAAATGTGACTAATGCATAACACATTAACTTTTCTTACCTAATACAGTGCTAAAACATTAAACAGTTGGGGCTTAACTTAGATGCATTGTCGGTAGAAAAGAAATCATAAGTGAAGGGGTTGAGATACAAAATGACGTCAAACGGTATTTCTAATTCGTTGGAGACTAATATAACAAAACATAACGAGTTGTTACACTGTGCATTCTGTTTAGCATAATCTATATTGCCATTTTAGCAATTAATTCAGATTTTCAATATGAATTTATGAATGTGACTATATAAAATCACCTGAATTATTCTGGAAATATTGTGCGCAGCCATTTTGTTATGTTTATTGAAACAGTAATGTGATCGCGTTAAATTAAATTACTGTTAATACATTTATCAAGTGTATCTGAGATTTTAGACAAATTACCTTACATATTTACCTATTTACATATATAGTATACCTAACAACACCATCGATAAAAAGAAATAAAAAAAGTGGAAGGGAGAAGAAGAAAAGTTTGAAATATTAAAGAGGCCAAAGCGTAAAAGTATTAGACAAATGAATTTTTAATTATGCATTCTGTTCTTTCTTTCTACAGATCTTGCTGCAAATGTAGAGAAGTATCGAACAGATCCCGACGCAAAACCGCCATTTTCATATGCCACGATCATTTGCCTGGCGATGCGTGCAAACAATAATAAAGTGTCTCTTTCAAATATATACGCGTGGATTCGAGAAAACTTCCTATTTTATAAGTATGCTGATCCAGCTTGGCAGGTAAAAGATTCTCTATGACACTTTATTCGCTGTAACGTGATAATATGAATGCTGTCGAGTAAAAAAAAAAAAAAAACAAAAGAAAAAGAAACAATATTGCTCCTTTTAATTTTAAATAGAATTCAATTCGGCACAACCTGTCGTTGAATAAATGCTTCGTGAAGTTACCACGCTCGAAAGATGAACCAGGAAAAGGTGGTTTCTGGAAGTTAGATTTGGAAAGAATGGAAGAAGGTAGAAAATCAAAACGACGCGCGACAATATCTCAACGAATCCGTGGATCAAAGAAACTAACGTCCCCCAAAACGACGGTAATGAGCAATATACAAAACAACGATGCACCATTGATTACCTGTCCATCTACGCTATACGAGACTCCACCTAGTAGCGTATCTCCTCCAATTCCAGACTGTCTCTCAGAAATTCCTGATTCCACGCAAGTTAGTTTAAGCGAAGATGACCTTACTGGTTTGCTAATTGCTACTGCTGGTTGGGATGAGAATCAGTTGGATCTTTTAGATTCCCTCCTTGATACTCTTTAAAAAATTTATCGGTTAAGCCTTTTTTTACGCAAGCTCAAAGACATTCATATTCAACTTTATTTCAAAAATTCTTAATTATCCTTCGAGTTCCGATCAGTTTTAATTCTGTTCGATTTTTAAAATATCATATGATCGAAACGAATATTAATTAGTAAATGCTGTAAAAGGAGGAATTTCAACGAGAAAATAAGAAGATCGAAAAATTGTGGGGAGGGGAGAAAGTATACAGAAAGATGAAAGGAGCAATTGTTCTGTCAAATATTGCACCGTTTAAGTTTGTTATATACTTACAATAAACACCGCACCATTGAGAAGTGCCTACTTATATGTATTTCTGTTTATATATTAATTTATTGAAAATTTCTGAGAGAATGTAAAATTCGCGAGGTTTAATTTTATACCGAGGCAGAATATTAACCGAAATGTACATAAAATATTTCAATTATTTTAGATTAATTCGAAAAGTAATATTTATTTATTCAATGATAATTATCACTGTTAAAATATTTGTTAATATAAACACATAATTTGCGTTTATTATACTTGACTGAATATGTAGACAAATTCTGCAATAAATTAATAGTTAATAATACTGTATAAGAAACATAATTATAATAATTGTAGCACAGTAATTTGCAGTGTGCCTTCGAATAAATAATAAATATTTACAATGTCATACATTTGCCAAGTCGATTAATTCGTATAAAGTATGTATGTATATTTCATATTTCTGCTTTAAAGTATAACAAAATACATACAAAGTGCCTTATGAGTATTATCAGCAAACAAATTATACTTTAATTCTTAATTTTCTAATACGATATTTTGCATTGTTAAAGGGTAGAAAAGTGTTATTATAAAATATTGTGTCGTTATGTTGTAGACAGTACAGTTCAATTATTATGTATATATTAGGTCCTCCTGAAAGTTCCCGTGGTTTTAAGCCGATCATTTTGAAAAAAACATAACTCCATTGAAATTAAACATTTTATTATTACAAGAGCATTAATTCCACGAATCTCTAAGAGAAAGACACTGTTAAAAGGTGTTTTCAATATCCTCTTGTTTCCCAAAATCGTTCTTGCATAAGGAAATTGTCAAGTGAGTGGAAAAAGTGAAAATCAGTTGGAGATAGATCGGAGATGAGGTAGAACTCAGGGTTCCATTTGCCACAAGACGCAAGCTGTGGTCTGACTTTCTATGGGGTCACATTTTAAAACCTTACTCCTTACAAACAGCAATACAAAAAACAGCCTAACTATAAATATTATTATTGGGGCTTTCGGGTGTAAGTCACGTCCAAGGAATAATCTTTCCATAAGGACGCGGCTAACACCTGAACACCTCAATAATAATACTTATGCTCTGGCTCGTGAAAGCCTTAAATCTTTGAGCCTAGTTATAATTGCAAAATAAAATATTTCTTTTCAAATATTAAAATGATAATACAAAAACAAGAGGCCACTGAAAACGGAAGCGCCAAATTGATGAATCTGATTAGTAACTGAAATACACTTGTTCTTTCGAGGTCTCGTGATGATGTTACGCCTAAGGCTTCCAAAAGTGTAAATGCGGCCTTGGTCAAATTTCAATACCCAGTCATAAAAAAGGATAGATTCTTTTCTGTTGATCGGTGTACCTTCAGTTTTTGGTGAACGACCTCCAATTCGTTACTCTATGACTCTGCAGTAATAATGGTATTTACCCGGTCTTAGGAAAATGTAGCCAATTAATTCTGAAATAGATTACCAAACTGTGAGCATGATTTCTTTCAGATGTAAACTAGGTTTGGATCGGGGATATTCATTTACTGTTTTCTTTCTCTTCGAAATTCGGGCTTTTATGTACGCGGAATTAATGCTCTTGCAATACGTCGACAAAGGTGTATTGTTCGAAATGAAAATGTTTAATTTCAACGGAGTTATGTTTTTTTTTTTTCAAAATGATCGGCTTGAAACAGCGGGGAACTTTCAGGATGACCTAATAGTTAGAATTCTGAATATTTTTGAAAAATAAGAAATAGAAGTAACGTACGGAATAATCAGATGAAAGAATAACTGCAAAACGATGAAACAACAAGGATTGTGTAATAACGGATAAGATTAAACGATAAAGAGAAAATTGTTTGCAATTTATAATACTTTTCTACAATGTCATAATTGTGCAGGACTATATTTACATATGTATGTTATGATAAAAAGCCCAATACCGATAGATTTTTTAAAATAAAGTTCTGATATTAGCATGGTAAATGATAATTTTTCAATTGAATTGGAGAATCAGTATTTTCTACAAATTGATGTAATGGTTCAAACATTGAACGGTGGTGATTTACTAATTATAAATAATGAAACGCGGGTGTGTGAAGAACTGCATAGTTCAGAGAATGATTAATCGATTATTATTACTATATATATTTCTGTAATTCAAATTGGAAATTACTTTCCGTCCAACCATTGTTTGCAATATTTTACAAAATAAAATATTTTTATGCGCACTGTACATTCTCCTATTACTGACATTTTTTATAAATACTTCTTTTTGTCCCGTACGTTAGAAAAAAGGTAGTATATTATTAATAAGTGACATTATTTAGTAACTATAAGAGTACACATATTATTTAATAATCATGCACCAGAGTGATTGTAATTTTTAAGTATCGCTTTGAACGAATTGTAAGTGAAATGTAGAAATACGCGTTAAAATTGCACATAATTTGCAGAAAGGGTGCCTCCTCGAAACAAAAATTAATATGAACTAATTGTAAGTACAAAAAAATAGAAAATCTACAATGAAGTTCTACCTAAGTTCTTTCGTGGAAAAATGTCTGATATAATATGTTTTAATAATACGATTTATGAATAATTTCTTCTTCTTTTAAGATTATGGTTAAATTAAATTGTTTTTTTAAAAATATGTATGAAACTTGTCTTCGTAGCACCTTGCTTTCTCCATAAATTTGAATTTTTGAATTTTATAGTTTTATTTCGTACGTTTTGCAGAATCAAGTTAGTTCATGATTACTCAAATGTAACCTTTAAGCATGTTGCATAAAATGAAAATATTTGTCTAACAAAGTTACATTATTGGCTTATGAAATTACCTGTCGAACGACGGGTAATTATATACATATATAAGTATATGTAATACCCAGTCATATCTGCTCCCTATATTCTCATACGTACACTCCCGTTCCTAAGTATTAAGAACTAGTTACTACTACTTATTAGGATTCACTCACTAAATGTAAAGCAAAGTTAAAGAATCATTGCAAAGTTATTAAGATCTTAGAGAGAATTATTCAATTTGGAATCTCGTAATATAATGAATACAAATATTTTTATTAGTATACTTAGTATACTTTTTATACTAACGTAATGGGTGTTTTAATACTTATGAACGATAGTGTATACGTTGTGAGTATGTATAGTTACTCCCAGAAATATTCGGACAGTAACGAAACAACCATTAAACACGGCGCAGGCAAAAATATTCATAATATTTAAAATATGGATATAAATAATATGAACATCATACTACGAATAATTAAAATATTAATTTTTGCTAATAAGTGTCTGAATATTTGTTTAAAATAATAATTGGACATAATTTATATTAATTTGTATTACAATGTGATATGCGAAAATGGATAAAACTAACTATACGTAATCCTAAAGTACAGTAAATGACGTTTCATAACTAGAAAGCATCAACCCAATCCTTTTATAATTAACCGAAATACATCATTAAAAAGGCAAACTTATACATATAGTGTCCGAATATTTTTACGAGTAACTACGTAAATAATTCGGAGTATTTTCTTGAAAAAAATCAGAAAACAGAAATATGATTATTATAATGTTAGCAGGAATATAATACATATAATAGTATTGTTTCTTTTTATATACTAACACGAAGAAAAAATAAAAAAGTCCTGATATACATAAAAAGTAGGTATTTATTCGGTTTCTTTACAAAGTGTATAAACAATATTATTTTTTTTCATTATTGATAAGACACGACGAAGAAAGAACGCATTGATTATAATTTTAGAATATACAATAGGCATAATATAATATATTATGATAATGATTTTTCTTACAATTTTTAAACTAATTCGGAACTAGCAGATACTAATCGTAGTATGTATGTATGCATGTATTGTTTTCCATTTTTATTGCTAGAGTTATATGCAATATACAATCCATATGTAAGAGTAAGTACTTATCATTTACCGACATAAAATACTTATAAATAAGATTCAGTACATAAATGTCATATTATTATTTTTTAGTTTATTTTTTCTTTATTGCTAGTTCTAATGTGTTTTCATTGAATTTGGCATGTATAATGTATTTACATGTGTGACGTGTAGAATAAAGCATCTTAACCTTAAACTGTCAAACTTGTAAATACTACGAGGTACTTATAATACAACATTATGATAGATACAAGAGATAAAATTATACACAAGTTTAATACGGAATTAGGAACCGATTTAACAGGACTTAATAAAATATATGAATTTCATCAATATCTTAATACACAGAAAAATGAAATTGAAAAATCGGTATGTATTTACAAATATATTACTTTACTTAAAATTCCATTGAAAATTTATTATAAAATACACATATACATACTATAAAAAAAGGTGTCAATCATTTATTGTTTAAATTTTTAGTTATCCATGGCATCAACTGAAGCTCCCTCAAAAGTAAAAGCAGTGATTGAGAATGTTGAAAGAATAAGTATTGAATTTCAACAATTAAAAGAAGCTTCTACAGAATTTAAAGATGACATACAACAAATGATGCATGAAAATGATAAAAGTTTGGAAATGCAAAAAATTATTGATGTCATAAGCTACTTAGATAAATCTTTATCATATTTGAATTTCATAAAATATGTTGAAAACATCAGGTAAATTATCATTTAAGTATTTAATTATTTACATTCTATAGTCATTTTTAAAGTTAAAAGAACATTATTTTAGTGACGAGATACAAATGGCTTTAGCAAATGGTGATGATGAATCAACTATTTCATTATATACTAATTTAACAGATATTAGTTGTCAACTTCAATCATCTACTTGCCATTATCTTCAAAGCTATGTAAAAGAGACACTTCATTTTTGGCATAACCTTATAAAAGATAAATTATCAAAGTATGTTTCTATTTTATGCATTTTTATGTATTTAATTAACATTACTGTGTTTGCATATACATAATGAATATATATATAATAACAATTTTCAGAGAATATAATGATATATTAAAAACATTAAAATGGCCTTTTTGTGGTACTAATGCAAGTTCATTACATACACCTATGCCAGAAGCATTAACAAAATTTCAAATACTTACAGCGTATTTATTAGATTTACAGTTACCGTATCCTTACAATTATTTCAGTAAATTTGTTTTCACACTTTATTAAAGTTATTCATATTATTGAAATTATGTAAAATCATTGTATAAAAGAATATTTTATCTTTAACTACATACAATGATTTAAATACAGAGAGGAATCTGCAAAGTCAGTAGTAACATCTACACTATTAACTGATTTTACACCTGTTAACTTACCAATTTCATTATTGGTGAGGCCACTTAGGCAAAGATTTATATATCACTTTACAGGTTCTAAGTTAACAAATCGACAAGATAAGCCAGAATGGTTCTTTACTCAAATATTAACTTGGATTAAAGACCATGTTCAGTGGGTACAAAAAAATGTACAACCTGCTGTAAATTCAATAGGTTTTAATCAAGTAGACATGAAGGTAATACAACATTTAATATATATTATTTATATTGTTGTTTAAATACTAATATGTACTAGTACAATTTTATATAAATTATTGTGTTCTAATAGGTAGAATTTATGAGAGCCTTAGTACAATTAGCAGTAGAGAAACTTCATTCTGAATTATCAATAGTACAGTATGATGATGCTTTATTTGCTCACTTAGTTGATGAAGCTTTAGGTTTTGAAAGAGAATTGAGAGAAACGTTATTTTATCCTCCAACTCGGCCAGCCACTGTTTATGTCCTTACACAGGCTCATATTTTTGTAAAATGGATAAATATGGAAAAAGAATGTAACGTTACAAAGTACTCTACAATTTTTAAATTATATCGTTATTTGTACAATGTTCATTAATATTAATATGTTAAATGATTAGATGCCACTGAAAAAATGGATGCCATTTTGAGTTCAAACACAGCTTGGGAAAAATTATCAAATTCTGACACTGATGACATGAAAGTAACTGAATGTGCAGATGCTTTTTTAACACTTCTTATAACAATTTCAGATAGGTATAAGCATTTACCACAACCAGGTCATAGGTAAATAAATTATATACAGACATTTAAATATAATTAATTAGTTATATATATGCATATGTGACA